AAGGACACGCAAAAATTCCCGCACAAAATGAAGTTTTGAACGAAAACCCGTTTGACCGACGTATCACGTACGTACGTCAGTGGTTAAGGGTTAAGCATCCGCAGAAATACAGTCCACTGATACATCGAAAACCTAGCCTAATAGGTCATGAACCAAAATTTATAAATTTAACCGCCATCTTTTTACAAACCAAAATTGATGTAGGATTTAGGCTACTACACCTTTTTTAGGGTTCCGTACCTCAAAAGGAAAAAACGGAACCCTTATAGGATCACTTTGTTGTCCGTCTGTCTGTCTGTCAAGACCCTTTATCTCAAGAACGCGTGGACGTATCAAGCTGAAATTCACATGAAATACTCAGGTCTATTGTCCCTTTAAGCTGTGAAAATATCAAACTTCTAAGCCAAGCCAATCAAAAGATACAGCCGATTATGTCGATATTTTTAACAAATTATTGGGTCAGGTCAGTGGAAATTAAACTCCGTATAACTTTTCAGCACTTTCACAGTATATTTCACACAACACTTTTACAATATTAATATTTCGTCCTTAACTGTTACTCCGCTCAGCGCTCGATCAAGACTGACTCTCGCTCTGCTATCGAATGCCCCGCTCAATCACCCCCACCACAAGTCGGTGTGCTGTGATTGGTCGACGCTTCCGATTGGCTGACGTCTCTGATTGGCTTTTGTAATTGTAGTCAAATTAACAACTCGTAACAGAAATTGATTGAAAACTAAAGAAAGTGTATAATAATAAAATATTTCTAAAAATAGTTTTATATTTTACCATTATAATCGACAATAAATATTAATAAAATTGCCGGTAGTTATTAAAATAATATTTGTTGCAATCCTAGTTAATTGAACCAAAATAAACGGAAATCAAATAAAATACATTAAATAAAATAGGTTAATTATTACTTCATTGTTACAATCAATTTAAAAATTACTAAAATAACAATAGTTATTGTATAAATATAAATATGACGCTAACANATTCCACAGATTGCTCTGATGCATCTCTTTTGGGCTATAAAGGCTCTATTTTTGTCTGTGCTATTGCCCCATAGCATAAGGCCGTAGCGTGCTATTGATTCTACATATGCCCTATAAGACATAACAGCCGTTTTACTGTTTGTTACCTTTTTAACGTGATTTAGGGCATATCCAAATTTATTTATTCTGTTACATATGTTCTCAATATGCTGCTTCCAATTTAAATCCTCGTCAATAGTAATACCTAAAAATTTTATACACTGTGCTTGCTGAATTTTATTAATATTTAGCTTAAAATTATACTTCGCGTGTTTTGATTTGTTAAATTGTACAAATACCGATTTATTTAGATTAATTGTCAAATTGTTACTCTCAAGCCATTCTATTATATTATCAACAGTGTCATTAATGTCAGTCTCATGATTCAATATCGAGTTAGTAATGTTAGTAACGTTAATACCAGCCTGTATGTTTGTAGGTGCTCGTACTATCATTTATCGTCGCCACCATGGATGGATGTGGATAATGCATCTAAAATAGTGCGATAATCTAAAATACTTAACCTGCCCACTAGTCCTGGGCCTTTTGAATATGCTTTATATTGTAGGACACGACAAAGTCTTGAAATACTTTATAATACATATCGGTTTCTGTGAGACATCTATAATATTTTTATAATTGTAAGATAATATTCCTGACCTCTCAAACCACGTAACGTGACTTTTACATCAATTTTAAAATCTAGCAATTCGCAATCAGTAGAAACTTGGATTGCGCGTATTGTATACATACATGAGAACCTCAAGAGTCAAACTTAATATCGTTAGGGAATTATAAGGATGTCTAGTTTTTTCAGTAAACGGATGACCTTACAAGACGTGGCGAAAAAGAACACAAGTTCATCGCCATTAATAAAAGAAGAAGAAGAAGGAAGACCTTACAAGACAGGACGCGTCAGAACGTCTTCCACAAAGTACGAGATGATATCTGATTTCTAGGTAACGTGGCAACTACTACTCCAAGCGTAATGACCATAATTAGCTCCTACACTACAGAGGGTTGGCAAGGTTGCGTCATCATTTCGATAAACCATTTTTAGGTTCAGAGAATTGGAAGCTGAATTAAAGAGCATTTACTCCCTAGATCGATGCGACAAGAAATTATAGACCCATTTACTTTTAAATCCATTACATGCAATTACATACATTTTTTTTTTAAATACCAGTAACCTCTGTCATTACTTAAGTTACAAGTTTCTGCTTTGAATTATTTTCGGACTCGTTAGAAACTGACTTTCCTATGTTTTTATAACAGTTGGAAGTAAGATGACCAACCCGATCACATGTCATGCATTTAGAAGGAGCTTTATCGCACTTATAACTACGGTGACCCACCTCATTACAGTTGTGACATTTCACGGAAGATGCCGTCTTTTCACACTTGAAACTTGGATGCCCGATCTCGTTGCAGTTGAAGCACCTAATTATGGGGTTGGTGTTACCTGATTTCGAAGAATCTGCGCAATCCACGTTGTTTTCAGAACGTCTCCTCATCGTATCTTGGTTGTCTCTGCTCTGCCCTATTTTAACTGTTTTGAAATATTTAAGCACCTGTTCTGGCTCTCGAAATTGTGCTGCCTGGGCACCAACTTTTACTGCCCGATCCTCTATACTGTACAAAAGACAATCTACTGCTTGTTTGCCGGTGATTTTACATCTATTTATCAAATTAATTTTTGCATAATAATAATAATTTTAGCATTTAAGGTGTGTTTACTAACCACACTATGAACTTATGAGTTGTTCGAAATAAAAACTTTTTTTCTTTTTTTTTTTTTTTATAATAGTAATGCTCTAAAGAATCACCATATTTAGCCTTCTTAGATAACATTTCGGTTAAGAGTTCGGCATAATCTTCTCTACATGGAAAGGATTCAATTAGTTTCCTTTTCCATTCTGACCACGTACATATGTAATATCGAAGTTAGACCCTGATACCATGTTCTAGCAACGCCGCTNCGTTGCAGTTGAAGCACCTAATTATGGGGTTGGTGTTACCTGATTTCGAAGAATCTGCGCAATCCACGTTGTTTTCAGAACGTCTCCTCATCGTATCTTGGTTGTCTCTGCTCTGCCCTATTTTAACTGTTTTGAAATATTTAAGCACCTGTTCTGGCTCTCGAAATTGTGCTGCCTGGGCACCAACTTTTACTGCCCGATCCTCTATACTGTACAAAAGACAATCTACTGCTTGTTTGCCGGTGATTTTACATCTATTTATCAAATTAATTTTTGCATAATAGTAATGCTCTAAAGAATCACCATATTTAGCCTTCTTAGATAACATTTCGGTTAAGAGTTCGGCATAATCTTCTCTACATGGAAAGGATTCAATTAGTTTCCTTTTCCATTCTGACCACGTATGTAATATCGAAGTTAGACCCTGATACCATGTTCTAGCAACGCCGCTTAATTTTGGTAGGGAATAGTGGATAATCTCCCTTTCTTCCCATCCATAAACCTCGGCACATTCCTCTACTTTAGTGATCCATGTCGAGACAGTTTGATTTCTAGATAAAGGGTCGAACTCCGGTATCACACTCGAATTAAAAGTAATTTTCGGCTTATCCGAACTCTTAACTTTTTCTAAAATAGACAGAAATTTATCTACTAACTTGGTATCCCGTTCCTCTTCTCTGTTCTCCAATGGTCTTTTTCTTTTCGGAGATGGCGACTGATTTCTTGATTCTGAAGATGAATAAATGACCCGTGCCCTTTTCCTTGAGTCACCAGTTCCGCGCCTCTTCCTAGAGCTTCTTTTCTCCCTTGGTGGTGGAGAGAGTGGCTCTCCTTCAGTTTCCGACGACGAAGTAGTATAGCGCCGTCTCCGCAATACTGGTCGTGAAGATCGGTTTGTTCTCCCCTTACAAGTAGCATGTCGTACGCCTTCTTGCCTTGAAGGTAGTATAACACTTCCTTCTTCATCAGATGTATTCCATTAGGTTAACCATTACAAATTTACTAACGTACTTACGTTTGTTTTCTGGCTCGTGGGCGTAAGAAAATGCAAAATTTTCTTGGTAATCCCACTTCTGACCTATTGGGTCAGGTCAGTGGAAATTAAACTCCGTATAACTTTTCAGCACTTTCACAGTATATTTCACACAACACTTTTACAATATTAATATTTCGTCCTTAACTGTTACTCCGCTCAGCGCTCGATCAAGACTGACTCTCGCTCTGCTATCGAATGCCCCGCTCAAACACCCCCACCACAAGTCGGTGTGCTGTGATTGGTCGACGCTTCCGATTGGCTGACGTCTCTGATTGGGCTTTTGTAATTGTAGTCAAATTAACAACTCGTAACAGAAATTGATTGAAAACTAAAGAAAGTGTATAATAATAAAATATTTCTAAAAATAGTTTTATATTTTACCATTATAATCGACAATAAATATTAATAAAATTACCGGTAGTTATTAAAATAATATTTGTTGCAATCCTAGTTAATTGAACCAAAATAAACGGAAATCAAATAAAATACATTAAATAAAATAGGTTAATTATTACTTCATTGTTACAATCAATTTCAAAATATTTAATATTAAATATTAAATTACTAAAATAACAATAGTTATTGTATAAATATAAATATGACGCTAACACTATCGTCTGACTTATGGGACTATTAACACCTCTCATTCCTACGACCGCAACTCCCGCGTAGACAAGATCTACCGCCATTAAAACCCAACACGTGAGGGCGAAGTCCTTTATTATATGTTATCTGTTGCCCCATTATTAATATTGGTTTTTGGGCCTTCATTTGCGCCCGCTCGACCAGGTTTGATCTATTGTGGCAGCCCTTGTCTTTAGAGTTCACTGCTTAGTAACGTTGAGTCTATAAATTTCTTCTTTGGGGTGTGATATCTGCTGTCTCATCCAACGAAGTTCTTTGTCCCATGGGTAAAAACTGTCATTGACTTGTAATTCTTGTCCATAGACTCCGAAGCTGCGAAGCGGCGTACCAACTCCTGCGCAACTATAACGCCGGGCTAGAGAAGGAGGCGGAATGGATTGACGACACATTCGCCAAGTTGCAGGCACAGCCGCCCATTGAGATCCGGCCTAAGGAGCAGTTTGAGCCTACCCGGGTGAGATATGATCGGTGGAAAATGAACCATAGGTTGATGTGATAGGGTCTACTTTAGTCTTGGATTTTAGGGGTAAAGTCGACTTAATTTCGATCAGATAGGGTTCTCGTTTGTTTGAACATCTTCGTTGATGTTAGTCGTTATTATACTGATGTGAGTCGTATTTTGGAATAGCTAAGATTTAAATTTGCATGTAACGGTTTTAAGAGTTGCACGTATCTAATAAATGAGCACGTGAAATTTTAAGTAAGACATACTAAAAAACTATGTTTACATGTTGTATACTTAATATCGGTGTATGATAATCAAACATGCACGATATAACTGAACACAATATTTTTAAACTTCAATGGAAACTGGAATATACTAACGTAATTGATCCTTAAAGATTTAATTTAATTCAATTTAATTAACTACATTTTATACAAGACTTTTCTAACATTATGCATGAATGAAAATACACTATTTTTTAAAATACTATGTCTACAGTTCGCGACAATATTATGTAATTCAATAAATACCTAAATAACTTGATAGTATGGACGTCAGCATATCAACGTACGCCAAAACTACAGATTGAACGTTGATGTTATTTGCATAAGGTTGAAGATCAATTGAGATTTCTCATTTTGGGGTAAGCTGATGTGTTGGCGACCGTACATTATTTTACCTAAAATAAACAACAGTCACACGAAAATAAACCATAATTACGCACATTCGACCGCATGCGAGGTCAATATCAATTGCACAGACTAATTTATTAATCAACTGGGTGTCTTGTGGCCAATTTACAGGTACTACTCACAAGCGTTGTGGAGAGAACGCCTAAGATCGAAAAAGTTAACGTGGATGGTGGAAGGTTCATTCGGGAGGCGAAGGTAAATATATTTCTAACTGGATTATGTGTCTAAAGCCCGGTCTGTGAGCACGTAGAATTTTGTCCAATGACCCCAAGCTACCCATCCTTATCGCTAGCGCGTAATTATGTTGCTGTCGCGCTCGCACACTCACTGCGGGCGCCCGTCGCACAGTCGCGACAGCAATATAATTACGCGCAAGCGATAAGGATGGGTAGCTTGGGGTCATTGGACAAAATTCTACGTGCTCGCAGACCAGACTATGTGTTGGTAAACGTTGTGCGACATATGGATAGTTTTACAGGACTGTGTGTCTTTGTTTTGAATGGCAAAGTAGACAGGGTTAACCTTAACTTTGTAGGTATTAAGGCTCAAAATGAAGTGGTACTGTCATTCGTCGCCTAAAAATCATGTAAAACTATTCATTTGAAGCACAACGTTTATTATTAAAGCGTTAAGGCGTCTTGAGAGAGTAATTTAATGACAAAAGAGAGTCGAGACGAATCATTTAATAAATATCTAAGAGCACGAAACAGTTTTTTGTTGTCAAATTAAGGGTGAGGTTTCACTGATACGGAACGGAGCATGATTTTAATACCTTTCAGTGTATTTTCATACAAAAATCGTTCCACTCATCTCGGAATAAATGAAAACTCACCCTCAAGATAATTATCGTTTTTAAAAAACACAATTTGTTCTCGAATCTCGACTGTCATATGTTTTCTCGAAATGCCGCGCAGTCAGGTTGTCACTTGTTTTTGTGAAAGGTTGAAAGAAAGTACAGTCCAGCGTTTGGTCACTTCCCGCTTCGTTCTTGTCGTTTCTTCTGGGTTTTCGATGTCGCTTCAATTGTCTTGTCGGAGTTTCTTGTCTCTTGAGTTTTACGCTTCTGCTAACGCCATTACTGCGGTAACTACCGTATTTTTAATGCTTAGCGGATTGATCTAACTGTGTGTTAACTAACGAAGCTTCGCAACTATACTAATACTAACTGTCTTTGAATGGGATGTCTGTGTGAACGAAATTACGGATACAAACGGCAATTTATTACTGCTGTTCGCATTGTTACTAAGATATTTGTAAATAATTTTGCCGACGCAAAATTAAATGCATTTTTATTAAAAAGATCTTGTTCAAGTAATTACTGACTCATTTGAAGCTCTAAGATTTAAAAAGAACCAAATTCTTGTACCAAATAAAAAGCTTCGCATGCATCGTTTGGGCTATCAGTGTTGCCATCGTCATAAAAATACACCATTTTGAAAAAAATATTAGAAATTATCATTTCAAATTATACTTTTGTGAGTTGTGCTTTGGGTGCGTGCACGAAGATTGGTTTTTCTACACAAAAGCCTTGGGTGTTGCACGCTTAAACCTGTATTATTTACAGGCCTCTTCCAGCATGGTTTCTTTACTGCGACACCTTCAAACTGGACTTGAGAATTCAGTGTTGCCCTCCTACAATAAAAACTACCATTGAGAGAGATTTTTGAAAGTTTTTTCGGGAGATATTTTCGAATGTGTTTCTGCTCTATTAAATCTGTGGATGGAATGAAAGAAGGATGATAGCGTTAAAATCTAATACAAGCTTAACAGATTGTTTTTCTGCCTTTAATTCAGTCAAAAGCAGTCTGTTCAACTAACCTAACATAACCTAACCCGCTTCGACCTAACCCAAACTAGATACATTCGTCGCGATGCCAGCGGTATTCTGAGTGGCTCTGCGACGAGGTACACCCATCACTGGACATGAAACACCTGAAACGTCAAGCGGACATAGACATGGCGGAACGTCTCCGGAACAGAGGTCGGATCGTCGACCCGGAACGCGTTCCGGTCGGTTCCGAATCGGTTGCGAGGGAGCTGGATGAACTGAACTCCAATCACCAGAAGTTACTGGACTTGTTGTATGAAAGACTGAGGAGGATCGCGGCCGCCAACCCGGGAGACATTGTTACATTGGTGAGTGTTTTGTTTTTATTGTCTAGCGATGTAACGACACTAGCGCCACCTCTATGCATTTAAAAGTATCGAAGTCAATTGAGCTACTGTTTATTGATTTTTTGAAGCTTTTAACTTCTTTAAACCTTGCTCTCAACTTTTATAAGAAAAATAACATGATTGATTTTGAGTAGAAAATGTATTATCAGTCATTCAAACTCATTACTGGCGAATACTGACGACAGAAATATAACATCTGAAATACCTACAATGAAATTGGGTGAATAATGCATACATTTGGTACGCTTTTGTCTTTATATCGTAAAAAAAACGTTTTCCTGAATTTTTCTAATTGTTTTACAAATGTACAGACGACGGCACATCATGCTACACATTCTAAGCCTTAATAAAGATGTAAGAAGAGCGATTTTGCAACAAAAATGAATCTGATATGCTGTCGAATGTACTACTTAGGCTGGGTTGCACCACCGTACTTTAATTTTGACAAACGTCAAAAATCTGTCAAACTCCATACAAAAAACACAGGTTATCGTCATAGTTACACGGTTAAAGTTAGGTGGTGCAACTCAACTTTAACGTTTTCAGTGTAGTTTTAGTATTTACCTTTCCGGCACTCAACTAAATGATTACAACATAAACTCAAAATCTTCAGTAGCGTTGACCTTCCAATCACGGTCATCTTCTTAGCATGGCATACGTCATATAAATGGGTCATTCCATAAAAATCTGTATATTTTCGACGTCATTTTGTCCGTAACTTTTTTAAGATGCTTTTGAATACTTTATTAGTGTAAATTATAGTTTATTAATTAATTATGTTATGTCTAAAAGGGCCAGTCACTTTATGCTTTATTTTAGGAGAAATTATAATTTTCAATTTTTTCATACTACATTACTCCTTTATGACTTCTAATAAAGTATAAAACTTTTAACCTTAACATTTACAGATAAGTTAATATACATAATGTAGTTGTTTTGTTAGTATCACTATATAAAAAACATCATTCCCTAACTAGTAATTTAGTCCCAAGTGCCGTTTAAAGCTAGGGCCTGACGCTCTAGGGACTGACGATTTGGAGTAAAACTTAACACAAATGCAGATTAACTTTATATTATAAGATGCTTAATACGATGTGCCGAAAATAGCCAAAAAACCACACGTAAATACTATTAAATTATATACAATTTCCTATTATAATCAATAAAGCTACTCAACTAGGGACTGACGAAGTGACTGGATTAACACATGTTTCCGCAACAACTGGCACGTTTGCACTAATTCAAAAAACGGCTACCGCAAAGCCAGTATGGTCTGAGGATAACTTCGTATCGTACTTTAAACTCAACTAAATGTCATTCACTCTAAATACATATTAAAGCGCAAAATTATAAAATCAGTGCGTGGCGAGGGAATGACGCTAAAAACTGTAGACTCTTTTTCAACTAAAGAAAATCAAATTATTGTTTATTGAAACCGCAAAATATTAATAGAATTTGGTGTAAATACATTTAAATAGATTATTCGATAATTAAAATAAAGGATAAAGTTGATGTTTTTATAAATGTGGGTCCCAAAACACAAACTTTTGGAGTATGGACATGCCTAGGGAATGACGTTTTGGGTCATTCAAAAGGAATTTAAGATGTTTTAAAAATAGTTTCAAAAAATATAAATGGGTGATGAATAAAGCACATTGCGAGCTGTTATTTAACAATTTTGGAATAAAATATTAACAAATATTTCATGTGAAATGTGACGCGGACTAAGAGTTGACATATTTTTGTGGAATGACCCAAATAAGTTTGATTATTTCACTAGATATATGACATAGTTATTTGTGTGCTATTTTTGGGATTAACTTGATCTTGAAATACTGAGAAAAGTGATAATTCTTTGAGAATTTATAGTCCTATTATTATGTAGATTGTGATAAATGTGATTTTCAAAGTGATACTTAGTTTTAAAGCATGGAACCATATTTTGTTTTAGAATAATAGGATTGACTTAATCTTACCCTAAACAAACTGAAAAAAATAACACAAAGTGACTTTTTAATTTGAGTTCTACCTAGTATTTGAACCTGAACCTTTAAATCTATAGAGTCCAAATCTCATACCATGAATTCGTTGAATTAACAGCATGATCTTTATACGACTATTCACATACGACAGTTTTTCTGAGACTAATTGCCTTTTATAAGGCTAATGGCTCTATTAAGAATTTTACCAACGATTTTTTTATTTTTAATTGACGCTTTAAAAATCCAAAATATTACAACATTGCTTACATTTTATTAGTTTTTGTGTATAAACCCACGTTATTTATTCATTCTAAGAACAAATACAACATTGCTCACATTTTATTAGAGATTCTACAAGTAACTCTACCTTAACTTTTCTAAAACAAAGTTGCATATCGAGCTGCTAGATTGGTGTCATTCGAATTGCATTATCTAAGTCAATTTTCCTAACCAGTTCTCACAGTCTTGACACTGTTTGCGCGACTAAACACGGGAGTGATGTCACCCTCACGTCATGAGGACCTTGCTTGCGAGTGACGGTTATGGTCAAACATTCCTCAGAGGAAAACTTGAATGAACATGTTGAATTGTAGAGAATACTAGAGCGTGTAAGGTTGTATGGTCATAAATAGTTCTGAGGAAAACCGGTGAAGGAACTTAGAGTTTTCTAGAGAGGTTGAGATTTAAGGTTATTTGTTTTATTATGGTCACAGAAAAATCTGTAATATTTCGTCCTTTTGCAAATGACATGAGTAATGACAGTGTGACATCTCGAACTATAGTTATAGTTGGACAAACGGACGTTATAATCAAATCTTCCTTTTTTTCTAAACTTACTGTTATTTGGTAACAAAAAGCATTATTTATGTTAATTTAGTTAACTTTAGTTGTTTAATGGTTAACCATTAAACAAGCTGTATTCTATCCGGGTATTAATATGGCCGTAAAAGCCTCTACCATAGATTATATTAGCAATCTGAAATAAAGGTAGACGCAGGTAAACTTAAGGAGCAACGATCGATTAGCTGGTAGAAGATAATTTTAAGACTTTTCTAGGCACAGATACTTAATTTTAAACTGTAGGAAGTCGGCAAAACAATAAAATGTACCACAAAAACATGTAAAAATTCACGTTTGAATGCTATTTATTCTCATTATAGTGTAATCAGGATCCATTGCTGCCCACGCGTTGCGTAGGCTTGAGGTCTCACCGTATTTGTATACGCTGATTTAGGTGTAGCAATGATTTCATGCCTTGATCGGTTTAGGTTCACAAGTTAGTATTTTGTGCAGTTAATAATACTTCAAAATAAATTGGCTAGAAGGACAATTAATTAAATATCTTTGGACAATTTCACACAGCGCCACATCTAGCCAAAGTAAGCAATTGTTATGTTATGGGTTACTAACTGAATAAAAAGCTGCTAATACAGTTTTTCTTGTTCCCAATATTAAAATATTTTACACTACGAGTCAAATGACGTACTTTTTCACTGTCCACAGCCATGAAGCTTTTGTGAGCTGGGGCATTCCACGCGAAGCGGGCAGGTAAAAAAAGTCGATGTTTCCGATTTCAGTAATATTTGAGTATGTTCTACCTATACATATTATTGATACGTGTACCAAATATTTTTCTAATATAATGACTAGTTTAAGAGTTATGGGTCTTCGAAGTTTTCGACAACCGGTTGGCATGCAGTACTTCAAAGCCGATTATGGAGTCATAAAATTATATATTAAAATAATTAAACCACGGGATTTATTACTTCATTTACCGTGCTTTTTAACTGTATTTTTGGAAACGAAAAAAAATTTATTTTTTCCTAAAATAAATGCAAATTAATTTTTTTTCCTTGATTTTCACAAAGTTCGACCCTTTCGATTTTTTTAATTTTTTTTATTTAAATAGCTAATATTGTGTAGAACATTCATGCCAACTTTCAAAGTGGGCGTGGAAGTGGATTCGGAGCTAGACTGAAAATACTGCCGAAGGGTGGCGTCCAGCGCCGCGCCGTCGCGCTGCCGCGCCTGAAGCCCGCCGCCTGTGCGCGTTTAGTGAAACTGACAAGCAAATAAAATCACTTTTGACGGAATGTTTTTTAGATTTTTAATAACACCAATACATTTTTAGTACCTATTAAATACTAAAAAATACGTTATGGCCAGGCTTGTTCTTACTCGGACACTGAAAGGATCGCTCCGAACTCCGAAAATCGGTCAAATGAACTAGTTCGGTCTTCTAGTACTATTAACTAGCACATTTTAGTACACTGATTCTATTAGGTAGATCGAACGAAAAAAGTCTTTATTCATATGCATTTATGGTCCAATATCGAAAAATACTCGCTACACACTCACAGAGCCGAATCCATCTCGCTCGCGCGCGGTTGTCACCAATTTCACGTCTCGTTCACACCTATTCATTAGTGATCGGCTGTACTAAAGTGAACTAAAAGACCGATTTGAACGACCAAGACGGAATAGTTCGTTCTCGTTCACTTAATTAAAGGAATTGCTTCCTATTAGTACATAGTACATGTACTACACAAGCCTAGTTATGGCGTATCCGCACATGCCGGGCGGCACGGCCGGTTCGGTTCGGTTCTGGGTATTAGTCCTGACCTAAATTAACTGGTGGATCTATTAATCCGGTCCACAATATCTTCTAATTACCAATAATTTACGACCTTTCAAAAGACTAGATAGAATGAAAGGTCTAGTATTCATTATATCTAAAAATTATTATGAGCCACTTAATTTCATAGGAATAGGATGAAAGCACTGACGACCGTCTGCCTCCCACATAATCGCCTTTTGTAACTCGAAAGGTATAAAAATAACAGCTCATTCTATTTTTGTTAGGAAATATTCACAGTTACGAGTAATGTAATTTATTTTTCACGATACGGAAAAACGCAACTTTATTTACTACTACTACTTTATTTTATAACGTATTTTAGTATTTAATAGGTATTAAAA